GTTCGTACACTGTGATACATTAACGAACCTGGAGGGTCACCAGACCGTTCTCAAGTGCCGGCAAAACTGTCTGGGACTGTCTGAAATGGCTCAGAGAGAATAATAGCCCATTGCACCTTGCCACCAGCTGGTTCAAATGTGGCTCCAAAGGTTCCAAAGCCAGGCGATCCAATTTTACTAATTATTTTTTATGGGCTCAGTTTCCTCGATTTCGTGTCGGTTGCCTTCATCGATGTTTTCGGCGGCCCGTGATACATTCCCTGCGCTCCGAGAACAATTACTAGGGTTCCTAGGGCCTTTAAGGTTACTAGGGCTTTTTCTTCTAAGCTGGACCACTGAGCAGCTTGCGAGTGACTGGATCCATGCACCAAGCAAACGAAGGGAGTCACGTTTTCGTTACCGATAACAAGAGGCAGGGTACCGTATTGCAATACGTGATGTCAACATTGGTGTCATCATTCATGTCGTGCCCTTTCTACGCGCCGCCAGGACGCCGGGCGCGCGACTAGAGCATTGGAAAGGGGGCGCAGGTTTGAAAAAGGGCCCACTGATAGCGAAAGGCCCCCCGCAACAAAAATCACCGTAAATGGCTCGGTTTCTTAAAGAGGATATTTTTTGCATTTTTACTTTAGCCTTCTTTAACTAGAAGAGTAGCCAGAGGGCGCCGTGAGATCAATTCTGTCAATGCATGGTATTAATTGCCAGTGCCCTCCACTATAAAATAAAGCAGTGAACTCTTTCTAATGCGATAGAACTCAGAAGCTTTGTCACAATCTTTATATGGGTTCTTCAGACACACTGAGGATCCCGCGAATGTAGTTTGTAGATCTAAATGACATGGCAACTTGCTTTACACATGCCCAAGTCGCGTTGGCTAGGTAATACTCAAGATTAGATCAGAATCGATAGGTGCCACAACTTCTGAAACTTACTTTTGAGCATGCGCTCGCAAATCTTAGAAACAAATCTTAGTCTTGGCACCAAACGTTGCAGTCTCCATGGGCCGCGCAGCGTCAGTCCGGCGGCCAACATTGAGCCGTGGCTAGGGGCTGGGTGGAAATGACGATGCTTCTGAACGAAGGATATTTGAACGCTTTAGGACCGAAAATATTGCATTTAGAAGGCGTGTTTTTTACTTGCGCGACTTTTAGATTGATGATAATAACGCATTGGCCTTTGCAACACCGCGAAATGGTGCTGGAATCTGGTGATAATACTGATAGAATGAAGGCAGAATGCCTGTTTTTCGTGTTGCTGTAACTGTTACTTCATTCAGAGGTCATCCTGAAAGTTGGAAAAAGATACGCCCAGTCTCATCTCTCAAAGGTATGAATTGAATTTGAACAACATCCGAAACCGTCATTTTACGACGGTCCGTCTCGCGCGCACGACGCTCGCCGCATGGAGACCCTTATTTCTTTCCGCGCAAGGCCCCCCTTGAGCAGAACGCTAGGGATGCATCACTGTCCCCGGTCAGGGACTAAAGGGCAATTCCGCTCCACCACGGGGAGTCTTCCGGCTGTTATTCTGGCAACTCGGGGCGGGACCCCCTGGTGGATCCAGGGGTCCGTAGAAGGATGCATCACGACGCGTTGTTCCCCTTTCTCACGAGAGAGGCCTTGTGACCTGCGCAGTTGGCCCCGGATGGACGCAGGACCCTCATTGACACAACAACATACCTGATTGTCGCAGGTGGTTCAATAATTGTCACGTAAACTTCAGCTCTGCTTAACAGGCCCCTGCTGGAATTGGGTTGGAGGACCAAACCTTTGGTACTGGGGGCCATGGCTGGCGCAGGACCCTTTCTCAGGTTTTCTTTCATTGTCAGGGGCCCCGACCAATGCAACAGGACCTCTGTATTTCGGGATTCCGTCCCCGTCCGTGTTGAGCGAATGTTCCCCTTCCCGACTCGAGGCCCCTTGTTGGCACAAAACCCCCTGCTAGGCACTGTTTACCCCTGACTGATACAGGAGCTCTGCATTGTCGCACTGGTCCCGACTAGTGAAAATCGTGTCCTCCGGTCTTGCTCTTGTTTGGAAATGGGCCTCCGGGTTCAGAATGACAGGAATATTTCATGTCACGACCCTACAGCCCGCGATTCTTTGTGACCTGTAGCCAGTCCGGGCGCTTATGCCTTCCAACCAGGCTCTTGATCGTCGGTTTCGGTGGGGCGCCCGGGTCCTTCTTCGGGCCTCATTGAGCACCGCTTTTGGTCGACTCGGGCCTCTTGTGAACATCGGGCCCTCTGTTAGGCGCTCAGTCCCTTAAAGATACAGAGCCTTGGCCAGCGTAAATCGCTGACCCGGCTTTGCAGCCAATTGGGAAGTGGGCCCTTAGGCCCATACCGACACGGAGCCGACTGTACGGTGCTGGTGGTGCCTGACCATTCATATAGGCCCATATCGACACAGGGGTCCCTCGGCGCAAAGAGCCCTCGGACTGTTGTTTGAGGGCCCCTGGATAAAACTCCAACCAGACCTTCGTGCCCTTAGACTGTCCAATCGGGCCCTTGATCGTCGGACCCGGTGGGTCCTCCAGGCTCTCCAGGTCTCCTCGAACCATGCCTCTGACCGACTCGGGCCCCTTATCAACACAGGGTCCCGTTTGGCGTTGTAGGGTCCTGACAGACGCTGGGGTCCCGACCAAGGTAAGTCGCTATTTCCGGTCTTGTCCCTGCATGGGAAATAGGCCCCCGCCCTATGCCGCCACGGAGCCGACTGTGCATTGTTGGGGGTGTCTAACCGACAGGTAGGTCCTTATGAACTCAGTGGGCCCCCTGATCAGCGCGCAAGGCGCTCTGGCTGATATTAGCTTGCCCGACCCTGCTGCCCTACGAACCGGGGCCCCTGAATATCTCCTCCGGTCGGCCTTTCTGGCCCTTTGGATCCTCAAATCTGGTCCTAGAGCATAAGTCTTAAGGAGCCTAAAGGGCCCATTGGAACGTTAAAGGGAAACGTGCCCCTGTGCCCCCCCCCCCCTCTCTCTGCCTGCGCTACTGCAGGGCAAGTAGTAATCCAGGGATTTCTAGCCATTCATTTGAGCGTGGTTTTTTCACTTAACGACTTGCGCGGTACACAGATGCTTCACTGCAGACAGCTGGGCTTCAACTCAGTCTCATGTCTTAACAGCGTTGAGTCGTCGCAAATCGATGCCTTGCCATTGTATCTCATTTGCGTTTCAAAACAAGATCGAAACAAAACAAAACAAGATTACATCCTTTCCTCTTTGCCTGATTTGGCTGCCTGTACAGATCTCCATACTAATTATGTCTGTCACGTTAGTCCTATTTAACCCGATTCTTGCCGAGTGTGGCTGTCTTACTGACGCTTAAAGAAATGGGCACAAGCACAAACAAAAATACGTTAGTTCGTGGTAGCCACTCACACGAAAAGCACACCGAACGGAAAACCGCCGAGGCGACCCGCAGCCTCCGCTCATATTTTTGAGGATGTCCGCTCGGGAACCCTCTCTCGACTTTCCGCTCCGTGTACCGCCCTGGCAAACAACAGCCGAAGTCATCGTCCCTAGCTTTCACGCGGCCAATTGGCTACGCCGGTTACAGCGCCCAATGAGCAGGCGTTGGGCACGGGCTTATCATGTGGGAGCGCCACAGTGTTGTTTGTTAGTGGTTGCTGAACTGTCTGTGTACTGAATTTTCGGACCGCAGCCCGTTTGAAACCTCTATTTAAGTGAGGCCCACTCTCAATTCATCTCCGTGTCAAACGTTAAATTCAATTTATCCTGATGTAAATTCATGCATGCATTGCTTCATCACCATCAATTTATGATGACGTAAACTAATAAACACTTGTGACATGCACGAGGACATCAGCTACTTTGTAATTTGGCTTGAAACGCTCCACTCTGTTCCAATACACTTCAAGTGGCCAAGCCTTGAATTCAGTGCATTCTCAGTTCATGTCTTTTGGGGATTCCCGATACAGTCCAGTCCAATCATGAATTTTTCCTAAATTAACATATTTTTTCAAAGCCGCGAAGAGCTCATGATTTGTAGAAGAGTACATGATTTGATGCTCACGGGCAGGTTCCATCACAGTGAGCCTTTCACGTTACTTGGTTTCCAGTAAACTTATCCCGCTTAGCCAGCTGCCAATTATAGCCCACGTGATAGATCAAGCGAATCATCACATCACCAATTCATCTGTCATCAAGAGATGTCCTGTACATCCAACGCGACCCTCATGTCCGTGTTTATGAGATCTCCAGCTTCAACGCCTACCAGAATGCCGCACATTGCACATTCTCTTTTCAACATGGCGGCGGGCAGCGTGTCCAGCGTCGTATCGGTCGGAGGTCAACATTCCGCTGACCACCGGATCGGACCCCACTGGCCCCTTGTTATCCTGCCCGCTATGCGTCGCTGGACTCTTTGTCCCCCGTCGCAGGCTTTCGACCCCCAAAGGGTGCGACCTTCGTACGTGCTTCCGAAATTCGACCCAGCGCGAGGATTTTTTTAGGCGTCGTTAGGCAGACGCTGGCAGTTCGTGCGGCCAGGAATTCGCCCAAAAGTAGCTTCGCACCACGTGCTGAGACTGGGTAGGTACCAGTCGGTCGCACGGAGTGCTAATGCAGCGTCGACGATTTTTACCGACATTGGCTGCACCTGGTAGTCGTGCCGCGTATACTTGCAGACTGCTGCCATGCCCCTGCCACCTATATGGGGCGATAAATGTTGTTGATGCTGGCAACGTCCCTGGGGCCTAGGCTAACGCTGCACTTATATTATTTCCGAGGGCATCTAGTATAAGGCCTTGATAACGACAAACTGTGTGTCATGGTTTAAATTCCCGTAAGACGTTGTAGCGACGCACGTTCCAACTGGTTCTATTCGGCACTCTTGTTGCAAGTAAAAAACAGAAATGTCACAAATGATAATATATACCTCTCTGTTATGCTACGATTCGGCCATTGGTATCACATCTGTTTGACTGACGCTAACTTTCCTGACTGATGCTGATACTTGCTTCCCTTCCAGCCAGTCGCCTACGGCGTCATCACCGTTTTCGACCATGAGGCGGCGGTCGTCCGCAGGGGATGCGGGGGCGCTTCCGGGCTTCGCGACATACCCGCGGCGCGCATCTCGAGTTGTAGCTCACTTGCTCGCCCACAAGATGGCAGACACGGCAATCGCTCAGCCGGGCTGGCCAAACAACAAGGATGAATACGAATTAGGTCCCGTTATAGGTAAGTAATGCTGAACGTCATCGTGTGTGTACACCTATATAATATTTCTATGCATGTTGTGTTTTACTTCTGGCCTGCAAACTGCCGAAATGTGCATTTTCTGACATGGCAGTGAAGCTGGCGCTTTTGTTTCATTTACCGGCTATTTGATATAATGATTTTAGCACGCTAGGATACTTTTTCACTGCTCCTTTTATTTTTGGTCATGCTTCTCAATGTCCCTGCTTTGCTGTAAACAAATTGATTAAAGCTGAGTTTTTTTTATTCCCTAAAACCTTGACCAAAACCTGCATGCTGAGCTGTGTTAGAGTAGCTATGCAATACTCAAGTATATGGTGCTGAAAAAGCTTACATTTTTTTATACAAAAAAAAACATTAGCATAAAGCATGTGGTGCCCATGACACCTATAAATGTGGCATGATTTTTTGTTGTTTTTTGTTTGTATGTGACAGTAATACCTTACAAGTGGGCATTTCCTATTGTGTGCTATAATATTCTGTTAGCCTGCCACCTGTCTTTTAACATTTTGGTTGAATGCAGTCATCACCATGGAGTCTTGTACTTTGGTCAGGATATACAAGTCTGATTTAGTTAAACACATGATATACACATATAATATCCTCTTTTAACAGTTCAAAGAAACAAGTAGTATCAAAGTCAGTATTTGCAAGTTTCCCTGATGACTGACCTGGCTTCATTAACAAACAATGAATTTAAAAACTGACTTCCTGTACTAAACAGCCATCTAAGTACCAATTCAGGATAATCCAAGGAACTGTGATAGGTTTGCAGTTTCTCAGGCCTATGCTTTATCCTGATTTTGTGAAATGGATCATGAATTTGAGTGGATTCAAGTGGAGGTTGATCTGATTCTGATTCAAAGCAACTGTTGGAAGCTTGACTGGCATAGTGTATAGCAGGTGCAGTAAGAATCAATGAACCTGATTCTAAACCCAGATTTGTCATTAGCATTGCATTGACCTTGAATGTAAAAGCTGAAACAGGAGCCTGTGATCTGAATAAGCATGTGAACTATTACACCCACTTAAAAACACTAGTAATGTCCTTGGAGTGGCAAGCTCAGAAGGACTTACTCTGAACCTGTGTTTCATTTGAGGGATTTGTGTCTGCATGTTTATTACTTTTGATCTTGTGCATATGCATCTGCTCACTGCAATGTCTTAACTCTGCTGGAATGTCATAGCCACATTATTTTAGGTACACATATACACAGGTGTCAGGATTGTTGTCAGAACCATATTTATCTTAATACCATCCTGACTTCAAATTTGACTAATATGTCATGCCTACTAATCTGAAGGCTGAAATAGGTAAAGATTCATTCACATGCAAAAATGAGATATTTGCATGCCATTAAATGCAGAATGCATTAGATCTATGGTCCCTCAGATATATCATTGTATCCATGTTCTGAACTTAGACCACCACAGCATGTCTGACCACATTTCTACCACTAGGTGTTGGTGCAACAGCAGCTGTGCATGAAGCACTCTGCATACCCCGGCAAGAGAAATGTGCAATAAAAAGGATCAACTTGGAGAAATGGAATACGAGTATGGATGAGCTGTTGGTAAGGTTGCCCTTTTTTGCTGTATGTTGATGTTAATGGGTTGCATGCAGCAAAAACTGTGCTGGTCATTGCTTAGATTCATCTGCCATGAAAGCAAAGATCTTTTAGATTTGGAATTGAAAAATAGTGAAATCCAGAGGGTTTCTGT